TGATGTTACTGGGATCACTCGTCTAGATTGATGTTACTGGGATCACTCGTCTAGATTGATGTTACTGGGATCACTCGTCTAGATTGATGTTACTGGGATCACTCGTCTAGATTGATGTTACTGGGATCACTCGTCTAGATTGATGTTACTGGGATCACTCGTCTAGATTGATGTTACTGGGATCACTCGTCTAGATTGATGTTACTGGGATCACTCGTCTAGATTGATGTTACTGGGATCACTCGTCTAGATTGGTGTTACTGGAATCACTCGTCTAGATTAATGTTACTGGGATCACTCGTCTAGATTGGTGTTACTGGGATCACTCGTCTAGATTGGTGTTACTGGGATCACTCGTCTAGATTAATGTTACTGGGATCACTCGTCTAGATTAATGTTACTGGGATCACTCGTCTAGATTGGTGTTACTGGGATCACTCGTCTAGATTGATGTTACTGGGATCACTCGTCTAGATTGGTGTTACTGGGATCACTCGTCTAGATTGATGTTACTGGGATCGCTCGTCTAGATTAATGTTACTGGGATCACTCGTCTAGATTAATGTTACTGGGATCACTCGTCTAGATTAATGTTACTGGGATCACTCGTCTAGATTAATGTTACTGGGATCACTCGTCTAGATTGATGTTACTGGGATCACTCGTCTAGATTGGTGTTACTGGGATCACTCGTCTAGATTAATGTTACTGGGATCACTCGTCTAGATTGATGTTACTGGGATCACTCGTCTAGATTAATGTTACTGGGATCACTCGTCTAGATTAATGTTACTGGGATCACTCGTCTAGATTGGTGTTACTGGGATCACTCGTCTAGATTAATGTTACTGGGATCACTCGTCTAGATTGGTGTTACTGGGATCACTCGTCTAGATTGGTGTTACTGGGATCACTCGTCTAGATTAATGTTACTGGGATCACTCGTCTAGATTAATGTTACTGGGATCACTCGTCTAGATTGGTGTTACTGGGATCACTCGTCTAGATTGATGTTACTGGGATCACTCGTCTAGATTGGTGTTACTGGGATCACTCGTCTAGATTGGTGTTACTGGGATCACTCGTCTAGATTGATGTTACTGGGATCACTCGTCTAGATTGGTGTTACTGGGATCACTCGTCTAGATTAATGTTACTGGGATCACTCGTCTAGATTGATGTTACTGGGATCACTCGTCTAGATTGGTGTTACTGGGATCACTCGTCTAGATTAATGTTACTGGGATCACTCGTCTAGATTGGTGTTACTGGGATCACTCGTCTAGATTGATGTTACTGGGATCACTCGTCTAGTGATTGAGAGAAGTTGTTGCTTTGATCTGTAGTTCTGTGTTGTGAGACGACATGATGACATTAGAGAATTGCGGGTTTAATTCCATTTTTTGATAAAATGTCTTTTCAAATATCCAGGTCTTGTTGTAATGTGTAATTTTTAATTGTAGTAATTAAGTGAATGAAGCATTTTTCATGTATGAAATAGCAGGAAAGACCGAAGAGGTGCATTAGTAATAATGTTCCTAGCTGTCACTTCATTAATCACACACACACACACACACACACGAACACACACACACACACACCTGTGCTGCTCATTATCAGAGCATGTGTGAGCAGATGGGCTGCTGTTAATGTGTTAATGTGTTTACTAACCCATCGATCTGCGTGTGTGTGTGTGTGTGTGTGTGTGTGTGTGTGTGTGTGTGTGTGTGTGTGTGTGAAGTGTTGTGGTTTATTTTCATTTCTGATGGTGTAATTAGATCAGATTAATCAGAGTTCATCATGTGTTGGCACTCATGATCACGCAGGGGCCGCACGTGTTCAGACTGACGGATTGATGAATTAATCACCTACACCACTTCCGTCTGTCAAGTCAACCTTTAGTGCTTTTTACAATAGAGATTGTATCAAAACAGCTTTACAGAAATAATAAAATAATGTGATTTCCATAGGTGATTTCCATTGGCGATTTCCGTAGGCGATTTCCATTGGCGATTTCCATAGGTGATTTCCATTGGTGATTTCCATTGGCGATTTCCATAAGTGATTTCCATTGGCGATTTCCATAGGTGATTTCCATTGGCGATTTCCATAGGTGATTTCCATTGGCGATTTCCATAGGTGATTTCCATAAGTGATTTCCATTGGCGATTTCCATTGGCAATTTCCATTGGTGATTTCCATTGGCGATTTCCATTGGCGATTTCCGTAGACGATTTCCATTGGCGATTTCCATTGGCGAATTCCATTGGTGATTTCCATTGGCGATTTCCATAGGCTCCATTGGTGATTTCCATTGGTGATTTCCATAGGCGATTTCCATAGGCTCCATTGGCGATTTCCATTGGTGATTTCCATTGGTGATTTCCATAAGTGATTTCCATAGGCTCCATTGGTGATTTCCATTGGCGATTTCCATAGGTGATTTCCATAGGTGATTTCCATTGGCGATTTCCATTGGTGATTTCCATTGGTGATTTTCATAGGTGATTTCCATTGGTGATTTTCATTGGCGATTTCCATAGGTGATTTCCATTGGTGATTTCCATTGGTGATTTCCATTGGCGATTTCCATTGGCGATTTCCATAGGTGATTTCCATAGGTGATTTCCATAGGTGATTTCCATAGGCGATTTCCATCTGTGATTTTCATCGGTGATTTCCATATGTGATTTCCATAGGGGATTTTCATTGGTGATTTTCATTGGTGATTTCCATTGGCGATTTCCATTGGCGATTTTCATAGGTGATTTCCATAGGTGATTTCCATATGTGATTTCCATAGGTGATTTTCATTGGTGATTTCCATTGATTCCCCTTAACATTATTTTATGCAGAAATAAGTTCTAATATGTTTATGTGAGACTTTTGTTCTCATAATCCGTCTCTAAAAAAATTATATACAAATTTGGATTGAGATTGATCGGCCAATTTATCGGTTATCTGTTTTGGCCAAAATTTTCATATCTTAACACACACAGACACACACACACACACACACACACAGTCCTCATCCATGTAATGTGCTCCTGAAATAGCCGAGTGAGCCGAAACTGTAATCTGTGAAAAGCTTCAATCAATCTCATTCCACTGATTACAGTCCTGTGTGTGTGTGTGTGTGTGTGTTTCTCACCTCATAAACAGCACTCTCTTATGCTAATTACAGTGATGTGAGTGGCTCCTGCAGAGGGGCGGAGCCTGAGTGAGGCCATCAACTGTATGGAGAGCTCTATTTTAATGGTTGCCATGGAAACTGAGTGCGGAGAGAAGTGCAGACTCAGATCTCTGAACTGTGTGTCAGTCTCCGCATCACAAACGTGTGTTTTCTGTCTTCAGTCCCGAACAATCTCCTCCAGGAGAACAGAAGAAGCTAAACAAAAACCATCAACCCTGCGAAATTAAATATTATAAGATGTAATATAACTCTCTCCCCCGTTTTAAGTAAAATTCATGAAGCTGCTTCAAAAAAGGAAAGTTTAGGTTGAGTGTAAAGCAAATGTACGGAACTAAACAATTATATTTTATACAAAATATATATTTTTACAAAATAATTTGGACTCAAAAATTGCTATAGAATCGTATGTGTAAACAAGTTATGTCAATTTTAATTTCATATTACAAAAATGGAGCCTATTGGTCATGTTTCCATGGCAACTTAACGTCTGATTTCTAAACCGTGTTTGCAGGATGATTTTTGAGAGTTTAAGCTTTTGAATAATGATGATTACTAAAGAAGTGAACAACGCTGCGCCTTATTTAAAGGGTTAATCCTGAAAACAACACTGGGTGTCTTTAAATGGATGGAAACACTGAGACGTGTGTGTGTGTGTGTGTGAGTGAGTGAGTGGGAGAGAGTCTCTGTGTGTGTGTGTGAGTGAGTTAGTGAGTGGGAGGGAGAGTGTAAGTGTGTGTGTGTGTGTGTGTGTGATCATTCCAGCTGCTGTGTTACGGTCCTCCAGTGTGTAGGCGACTCTTTGTCTGAAGGGAGAGTTTATCTCATCCATAATAAACAGCAGAAGACATGAGCGCTGTTATGAAACATTGATGTGATGAGCTGCAGTGTTGTCACACACACCGACTCTCGGATCATCTGCTCTGAACACACACCTCTGTTGCTCACCTCGGCCTGAACACACACTTTTCAGAATAAACCCGACAGGGTGATCAGGATCAGGTCTTTCATCCGCCTGAAGGGTTTATTCTGAGATAACAACCGTCCAGATGTAGATTATTATTACGCGTCTGCTTGCCACATCAGTGAATAATCACTTCACCGAAATACTGATCTGAGTTTATATATTTGATAATCTCTTTAAACACAACACTTGCGGAGAGAGCCGTTTCAGCGGCGAGATCAAACTAGACGGACGTATAAGAGATACGGTATACAGTCATAACACTTATTACACAGCATTTCAACACATTAATAATGATGGAGATCAGAGATATTGATTTCAGATTAAACTGTTTTAAAATCGTGCCTGTTTGTATCTCATAATCCAACAATAGTCCAATAAAATATGGCCACCACTAATACATTTGTTGAATATTTAGTTCATTTTGTTTTGGGGAGAGCGGTGTTTTCTGATGGTTTCATATTTGCCCACAATAATAATAATATTGGATATCTAATTGTAAAATGGACCGGGAGCCATCTTAGAGACGCAGTACAGTAATCCTGTAATCGAGATGCGGCGGTGATGCGGCGAGAGTTACAGAAGTCCAGTCGCGATAGAATAAAGGATTACACGTTCCAAATCTTCATTTGATAGAAATGGTTTAGTTTTTAATAAACTACTTCATTTGCTGGTCCAGTATTAGTTTATTACCAATTTAATAGCCTGAATGTCTTACTGTTGTTTTCGAGTAAGATGACTGGGGACTCGAGCCTGATATCAGTTATTTGGGTGGCCGAATACAATAACCTCAGTTTAACTTTAAAACGTTTTTGGCCATTTAATTTTGAATGTTTTTTCTCGTAGGTCTCTCTCTCCTCCATCATGTCCATCTGCGTTTACCGAGGCTTAACTCCACCCTCTCAGGAAAAGCGGGCGTGGCTTTGTCCGCCAGCCACGCCCTCACCCCACTGGCCCCGCCCCTCGCTCCCCCAGCTGTTGGCCGTGTGCCTGCTTCTGCTTCTACCAGCTGTCCAATCACGGCGCGATCGTGGCGGAGGGGGCGTGGCCCACTACATCCCGTCCTCGGTGGCCCAGTTCCCGCCCGTCTCCAAGCTCCTGCAGGGGCTGAGCATCGCCGTGGTGCTGGTGGGCAACTCCAGTGAGGTGGTGCTCGCCGGCACACGCGAGAAAGACGACTTCGGCCACATGCCGCTAGCGCCCAGCGTGGAGATGCTCACCATGAACGAGACGGACCCCAAGAGCATCATCAAGAGCATCTGCGACCTGATGACGGAGCACTGGCTGCAGGGCGTGGTGTTCGGAGACGACACCGACCAGGAGGCCATCGCTCAGATCCTGGACTTCATCTCGGCGCAGACGCACACCCCCATCCTGGGCGTCAAGGGAGGGTCCTCCATGATCATGGCCGCTAAGGTACGTCAACATCTCCATACACTTATTCCATGTCCACCTTATTCCTGACTGCCTTCTGAAGAATAGGTGGCGTTTCCGGTATGGGAAACTTCCATTCAAAAAGACTGAAACGAATCATTCAAATCATAAGGCCAGTCTCTCCCGAATCAACACAGAGTGAGTTACACCGCAGTTCCTCCACCGGCCACTAGAGGCGCTGCAGGAGAGACTCACTCCCATAGATCCGCATGTTAACATGCCCAACTTTACAGCAGAATAAACATGTTTACAGTCAAGTGGTTTTGGTCTATATACTGTATATACGTATATCCTAGAGTGATGTTTCACCAGTCCGTTATTGCTGTGGAAAGAGTCGTGTTTTGGGGTTATTTCTGATCTGTTGAAGGTTACATGTTAATGCTTTTACTCTTTTAAATGTCCTTTTAATGTTCGATGGTTGAAGGGTGAGTAGAATAATATCATTGTACCCAGTTTTTATTAAAAAAAAACCGTATTATTCTATTTTTTTAGTCTATCTATGGTATTATTGCGTTCATAGAGCGAGCCTTTTGCTGATTGCTTATAGCTTGACTGAAGTTACACCCAGAATTCGAGCACAGTGTGATGGTGCGTATAGGAATAAGGTGGATATGCTTCTATAACAAGATCGAAATTTGGGCGGGGCTTGATTGCGTCTGTGGGGATTTGATTGGCTGGTTGTGGTTTGCTATTGGCTGATGTCATGTGAGTGACAGGTTATAGCCCCGCCCTCGTCACCTGCGACAGGAACTTATTCTGATTCAACATTATGAACACAATATTGATGTGCACCACATCACTCAGAATAAACGCTGCAATATTCTCTTAAAAAGTCATGCATTCTGAAGAGAGGAGCACAGATGCATGATGTGTGTGTGTGTGTGTGTGTGTGTGTGTGATGCCGAGCCGACAGACACACACAGAGCGATCAGGTCCTCATGTAAGTGCTGTGAGTCAGATCCGTGCCCACGCTTTAAACGCCGGTGAAATCACACCGGATGAAGATGAAGATGAGGATGAAGAGCGGCTCGCCCACGCTCCGCTGTCCAGATGCTCTCGCTACAGTGTCAGGGAAATAGCGGCGGTAATGCTGCAAAACGCAACAATTATCAAACTAATGCTCTACAGAAGACAATATTCATATTATTTAAAGGTGGCATATTATGATGTAATATAAATCTCTGACGTCCCCAGGATGTGTGTGTGAAATTTCAGCTCAAAATACCAGATCATTTATTATAGTTTGTCAAATTTGGCTGTGAGCAAAAACACGCTGTTTTTGTGTGTGTGTCCCTTTAAATGCAAATCAGCTTTAGCTCCGCCTCTGTTCAGAAAAGGGCGGAGCTTCAGAGACTCCGGCAATAACAGCACAGGCGGATCTGACTGATCCAGGATCAGGAGTAACAGCAGCTTTAGCTCCGCCTTCCGGAGAGCTTCACTGTTACACGTTTCTGAATGTTAGCGGAGACGTTTGTGTAGTTGTTGTGGAGTCACACTGATCATCTCATCATCATGTTGAACTCTTCAGTTCCTGAGTCAGTGTTTATGAGACAGCGCTCACATGTTCTGCTCAATAGTGTTCAGTTTCAGGCTCAGCTGGATCTTCTCCAGTGCGCTAGAACTGAGTGTGTGAGAACGTGCAGATTAAGGGGCGGGAATATTAAAATAAGGCAGGAGACGGACATCTGATCGGCTTATTTTAGAGAAAGACAGTTACTGGGTTCACTCTCGCGTGTTCTGGGTTGGTGGAGCACTGGGACCGGTTGTAGCGCTCACACACACAGATTTTCATGATATGTCCCCTTTAAGTGTCTGTTCATCCAATGATCATTTACTCTTGCGACTTCAAAAACCTGTGTGACTTAAAAGAAGCTATTTTGAGAAGTGCTTGTGTAATGAAAGGTACCCAACGTTCTTCAAATTATCTTTAGTCAGGTTTGAGCAATATGCCATGAGGAATGGCCCAGTTTCAGTCCCATTAAGGTGCAATCAGTGTGCTGAGACTTCCAGTTTGTGCTGGTTTATGATGGTTTATGCTGGTTTATGATGGCTTGTGCTGGTTTATGATGGTTTATGATGGTTTATGCTGGTTTGTGTTGGTTTATGATGGTTTATGATGGTTTATGCTGGTTTGTGTTGGTTTTTATGGTTTATGATGGTTTATGCTGGTTTGGTTTGGCTGTTTGATTGAGATCTTCTGTATAAATTGCTTGGAAACACTGAGTCTTGTGAGATGGACCAGATTTGATGGTTGTTCTCAAGATCTCTGTGATGTGCTGCTGATCTTGAGGGGTCAGAGGTCAGATGGGATGACCTTCAGCCCAGAGAGAGTCTCACCCCCCTCTTTCTCTCTGTGTGTGACCTGGTTTATATAGTGTCAGTGTATCATGTGTGCTCCGCTTTAAAGACCAGAGAACTAGGACACATATTTAGGGCTCCTTCTCTCTCTCTCTCTCTCTCTCTCTCTCTCTCTCAGTGTCTCTCTCTCTCTGTCTTCTCATCTCTCCGTCTGCTCGTCTGTTTGTCCTTCCTCCGTCCTGCTCTCTGTTCCTGCTGTCTGCTGTTCATCACAGATACAGAGCGAGAGAGAGAGAGAGAGAGAGAGAGAGACGCTGAATGAGAGAACGAGTTGAGCTCGGTCAATTACCCAGAGTTCTGTGCCAAGATGCCTGCTGTCAGGACGCCACAATCTGTTACACACACACAGCAGTCATTGAGCAGAGGAAGTCATGTGACTGTTCCTGAAGTGTGTGTGTGTTGTGTGAGTGTGAACACCTCAAGTTTTAGAGTTATGTTGGTTATGTCTGCGGGTTTTTTAACAAGCGGTTTTATCATAGCTAGCTTAAAGGATTTTGGTACGTATCCTAGCGACAAAGACGAATTAATGATATGAAGAAGAGGACCTCTGACCTCTGGAAGCACGTCTTTCAGTAGTTTAGTCGGTATAGGGTGTAAAGTTGTTGATTTAGATGAATTAACGAGTTTAGACACTTCCTCGTCTCCTAGACTCTCGACACCACAGCCATCGGCCCTGATCCTCAGCAAACCCGTCTCCACACGCGCGTGATGACTCCGGTCCTCAACCAGGGGGATCTGTGTCTGGTTTTACACCCCTCTCTCATCACTGCGGGTTATATGTGTGTGTTAGACGCTCTGCTTTGTCTATCCGTAGTCTAAAACACTGGCCTGTTCTTATTTATAACCCTATCCAGGGATCCTTCATCTTCAGACGTGTATCTGTAAAGTGTGTAGGTCGTTCCAGCCTTCGGTGTCGGGACTGTTTCTTGTTTTCGGTTGCAGGGGTGCATTCTGGGAAAGGCATGGACATGCGCAGCTCTTCTGAGTAATCTGAGAAATCTCACTGGACATTTCTAAAGTGATTTAAAGACTGGGAGACAGAAACATGTGTTTGCCTGACTTATGTATTGATTCACCTATTTTATTTTTGACATGTGCCTGTGTGTTTTCTAGATATGTATGGATGTATGCTATGTGTTAAACCCATGTGAAATGTTTGTTGATAATCTTGGCTCGGACGCTCTTGCAAAACAGTCTGACCTCTGACCTGTGATGCTGCCTGGATCATGATCACACACTGTCGCCTATTTACATCTTTGTTGCCATTGGCTTGGGTTCCTAAATTGGGGACATTAAATTTAACATTTAAGTTAATATTCAACAGTAATATTGATCTCCACACACCCATGCATTATGATATACAAACCCATGCATTATGATATACACACACACCCATGCATTACAGTCATTTATACTTGTGCAAAAATCACCCATAATTCAGACGCTTTTTAGAATGTGTGTGTGTGTCAGGATAGTCAGAGAAGCACAGCTGTCAAAGCAGTGTGTAGCCACAGTGTGACAGCGGAAGAACCGCTTGTGTGTGAGTGTGTGTGTGTGGTTGTCTGTGTGTGTGAGTGTGTGTGATGAGTAGCTGTTACACACATCACTCTCTATCTAAAATGACTTTATCTATCCCTATATCATAGAGCTTGTTTATGATACACACACACACACACACACACACACACAGAGAGAGAGAGAGAGAAGAAGAACTCGCCCGGTGTACATGCGAACCCATAACCGTTTAAAAGACCCTCACGAGGTTAAAGTCCCTACGCACGGTGTTTATGGCTAGCTTATAGAGGTAGTGACGAAACGCGTTCTGTAGCGCTGTGTGTTCGCGTTCAGCTACGGTAGAAACATGACGTCACAATATGTCGACCTTCATAGAACTAGTGTTGCGGCATTCGGGTTGCCAGCTCTTCTCTAGTTATCACAGCTGCAGATACAAACGTGTCGGAATCAGATTAAAAAAAAATCCGAAAAAACTCCATATGAATCCGAAATACTTTGTTACAAAGCCCGAAATTAATAATTATCAGAAAAACCTCACTGTGTAGGACTCTTGCCATCGCAGCCTACGTTCTGCTGGATCCTGCAGCATATCTGGCAACCTCGAGTCATGGGGGAAGGGGGGAAGGGATACACCCTAATTTGAAAGTGATTGCAGTACCAGTTTTGGCCACAATCTTGCACACATCTCCTTTAAGATAGTATAAGCCACGAACGGCCAGTCTAACTTTTCGGCATCAGATTTGGCCAATCTGCTTTTTTATTTAACTAATTTAAAACCGTTAGAAAAAAACGCTCTTAAATAAAAACATATGTTTGACCTGTAAGACGGTTTATGCCTCTGACAAAAGCCTTAAATGTGTTAAACATGATCCCGATGTCATGTGATCACCTGCGACCAATCACAGTCTCGTATTGATTAAATACAGTCTCTTAATGTTTACGAATCTGGTTTAGTTGCTAATAGCATCTCTAATGGGCTCGTTAAAATGAGTCTAATGTTTAATGAAAAGGGAGAGGTAGAACCAGGTCAGGACTAATTACATGTGCAGGATCCACAATATGAGTGACATAACAGGCTTTGGTTCTCCACTGTGTAAAAGTTGTAGTTTTTTGCATCGTCTCCAAGTGTGTGTGATCCACCAGCCGGAAGCTGAAGCCTCGCGGGAGCCGCCGTTGTAGTAGAGCCGTTAGCATCCCATTCATTCTGGCGAGACTTTGACAGAGGATAACTTTACACCTGAGGCGTCCAAAGACTTCATTTACTCATTATTTATTTCTTTATAAGAAACACAACAATGTGTAAAAGGCTCCATTACCTTGTATCTTACGTTACGGCCCCGTAGAAGCAGTTTTTGTAAAACTCTCTCTCTCTCTCCACTGTGTGCAGGACGACAGCTCCATGTTCTTCCAGTTCGGTCCCTCCATCGAGCAGCAGGCGTCTGTTATTCTCAACATCATGGAGGAGTACGACTGGTACATCTTCTCCATCGTCACCACATACTACCCCGGGTACCAGGACTTCGTTACCAAGGTAACACACACACACGCTGGTACATCTTCTCCATCGTCACCACATACTAACCCGGGTACCAGGACTTCGTTACCAATCTACCAATCAAAGACTAATCCTAATCTTAATCCAGATCAATTGAGTTCTGATCTGACAGTGCCAGTGCAGCCAACTCAACAATATCACTGAATGTCAGAGCTAACCCTAACCCTAACCCTAGATCACCCTGGATATCCACCAGAGGGCACTGTTGTGATCAGGACTACATTACCCATAAGCCACTGTCCTCATCATCATGATTATCCACATCTGTTTCTCATTGGCTTGTTTAGCCCAGTTCCCTCATGTAGAGGTGGGCAGATCGAGGCTTCGTGGTCATGTGACGTATCGAAACGCTCCATACCTAACCCTTCGAGAAGAGTCCTAGTACATGTCAGGAAAATGTAGTTATTTTCCCAATACGTTTCATTCATGCTTCAAAACCTTGTTATCGTGTCAGGAAATTGGCATTGTGTGTTTTTGTCATCGTGTGAGTCACAATGGTTGGATGTTTGTTACTAATGTTAGTTCGTAAAATACAGCTTGTCATGGTAGTTCACAGAGCATTTGGTTGATTGGGAAGATTGGGATTCATTTTTCATTTCAAAGGCAGGCCATTTGCCAATTCACCAGACATTACACACGTTAAATATCACAGGAATTTCTGGAATATTCATGCATGTCTGACAGATGTTGAACCGCACACGATGAAATATTGTTGATAAGTTGTGAAGAGTTAATCAACTCATGACCAACCAGCCATGGGCATTTAGGTATTAGACATAGACAGTTACGCAGTGAGGTCGTTCGGCTCGACGCGGAGCGGAGTCGTTCGTGACGCATCCACCATACAGCACTATAGCCTCGAGTACCTTATTGCTTTTATAGAACTGTTACCACACAATAGAAATATTACGTTTCCGCCAGATCCGCAGCACGATCGAGAACAGTTTCGTGGGCTGGGAGCTGGAGGAGGTGCTCCTGCTGGACATGTCTGTGGACGACGGAGACGCCAAGATCCAGAACCAGCTGAAGAAGCTGCAGAGCCCCGTGATCCTGCTCTACTCCACCAAAGAGGAGGCCAACGTGATCTTCGAGGTGGCTCATTCTGTGGGCCTGACGGGCTACGGCTACACCTGGATCGTGCCGTCTCTGGTGGCGGGAGACGCCGACCACATCCCGCCCGAGTTTCCCACAGGTGTGTGTGTGTCTGAGGTGTGTGTGGATGGGACTCAGAGATCAGGGCTGATGTGTGTGTGTCTCTCCTCAGGCATGATCTCAGTCTCCTATGACGAGTGGGATTATGGTCTGGAGGCGCGTGTGAGGGACGGTGTGGCTGTGATCTCCTACGCCACCTCCACCATGATGATGGACCGAGGGCCACACACACTCCTGAAGCCCGAGTGCCACGGGGCCCCCGACAAGAAGAGTCCGATTGCAGGCAATAACAACGAGGTGCTCAGGTGAGACTGCTCTCCTAACATGACCTTTCCCTAAACTCAACAAAAGATGAACTTTGACCCCATGAGGAAAAACAGCTCATAAATATACAGAATGATTTTTTTTTTAAATGTTAAAATGCAAACATTTTTATTGTGATGGGTAGGTTTAGGGGTCAGGTGTGTGTATGAGATGGGCAGGTTTAGTGGTGGGGTTATAGTGTGTGTGTGTGTGTGTGATGTGTAGGTTTAGTGTAAGGATACAGTATATGAAGAGTTCAGATGCAAAAGCCTCTAAATGCCATTTTAAATTTTCTTCTTTAATGATGATTTTTATCAAACTTGTATATTTAAGTTCAGTAATTTCACTTAAATAACAATTAATAGGTAATTATCATTGCAATTTAAGTGAAATCACTGAACTTAAATATACAAGTTTGATCAAAATGATCATTCTAGAAGAAAATTTCAAATGGCACTTAGAGGCTTTTGCATCTGAACTTTTCATATACAGTTTGTACAGTATAAAAACTATTAAGTCTATGGAGAGTCCTGATAAGTGTGTCAGTGTGGTTTCTCTCAGAGCTGCTGCTTAATGCAGAGGTCTCTCTCTCTCTCTCTCTCTCTCTCTCTCTCTCTCTCTCTCTCTCTCTCTCTCTCTCTCTCTCTCTCTCTCTCTCTCTCACAATGATGTTTCCATAGTAACACTGGGAGGAGTTTGGAAGCTGCAGTGCTTGTGGTTGCCATAACTGTACAATACATATGTCACACTTCCCCCTCAACACTGAGACCATAACACATCAATAAATACTGAAGACAGACAGACAGACGACAGACTGATAGACAGACAGATAGACATACAGACGGACGGACAGACAGTCAGTGGGTGTTGAGTATCTCCGGTGACGTGCTGGTGTGTGTGTGTGTGTGTGTGTGTGTGTTTGACAGGTATCTTATGAACGTGACGTTCGAGGGCCGCAATCTCTCCTTCAGTGAGGACGGGTATCAGATGCACCCCAAACTGGTGATCATCCTGCTGGACAAGGAGAGACAGTGGGACAGAGTAAGAGTCAAGAGTCATGAGTCTGTGTTCATGAGTCATGAGTCTGTGTTCGGGAGTCATGAGTCTGTGTTTGTGAGTCACGAGTCTGTGTTCGTGAGTCACGAGTCTGTGTTCATGAGTCACGAGTCTGTGTTCGTGAGTCATGAGTCTGTGTTCGTGAGTCATGAGTCTGTGTTCGGGAGTCACAAGACTGTGTTCATGAGTCATGAGTCTGTGTTCGTGAGTCTCGAGTCTGTGTTCATGAGTCACAAGTCTGTGTTCGGGAGTCACGAGTCTGTTTGTGAGTCATGAGTCTGTGTTCGTGAGTCATGAGTCTGTCTTTGTGAGTCATAAGTCTGTGTTCGGGAGTCATGAGTCTGTGTTCGTGAGTCATGAGTCTGTGTTCGTGAGTCATGAGTCTGTGTTCATGAGTCATGAGTCTGTGTTCATGAGTCACAAGACTGTGTTCGGGAGTCATGAGTCTGTGTTCATGAGTCATGAGTCTGTGTTCGTGAGTCTCGAGTCTGTGTTCATGAGTCACAAGTCTGTGTTCGGGAGTCACGAGTCTGTTTGTGAGTCATGAGTCTGTGTTCGTGAGTCATGAGTCTGTCTTTGTGAGTCATAAGTCTGTGTTCGGGAGTCATGAGTCTGTGTTCGTGAGTCATGAGTCTGTGTTCGTGAGTCACGAGTCTGTGTTTGTGAGTTATGAGTCTGTGTTCGGGAGTCATGAGTCTGTATTTGTGAGTCATGAGTCTGTGATTGTGAGTCACGAGTCTGTGTTCGTGAGTCACGAGTCTGTGTTCGTGAGTCAGGAGTCTGTGTTTGTGAGTCATGAGTCTGTGTTCGTGAGTTATGAGTCTGTGTTCGTGAGTCATGAGTCTGTGTTCGTGAGTTATGAGTCTGTGTTTGTGAGTCACGAGTCTGTGTTCGTGAGTCTGTGTTCGTGAGTCACGAGTCTGTGTTTGTGAGTCACTAGTCTGTGTTCGTGAGTCATTAGTCTGTGCTCGTGAGTCTGTGTTCGGGAGTCTGTGTTTGTGAGTCATGAGTCTGTGTTCGTGAGTCACGAGTCTGTGTTCATGAGTCACGAGTCTGTGTTTGTGAGTCATTAGTCTGTGCTCATGAGTCATTAGTCTGTGTTCGTGAGTCATGAGTCTGTGTTTGTGAGTCATGAGTCTGTGTTTGTGAGTCATGAGTCTGTGTTTGTGAGTCATGAGTCTGTGTTCGTGAGTCTGTGTTCGTGAGTCACGAGTCTGTGTTCGTGAGTCTGTGTTCGTGAGTCTGTGTTCGTGAGTCACGAGTCTGTGTTCGTGAGTCATTAGTCTGTGCTCGTGAGTCTGTGTTTGTGAGTCTGTGTTCGTGAGTCTGTGTTCGTGAGTCACGAGTCTGTGTTCGTGAGTCACGAGTCTGTGTTCGTGAGTCATTAGTCTGTGCTCATGAGTCTGTGTTCGTGAGTCTGTTCGTGAGTCTGTGTTCGTGAGTCACGAGTCTGTGTTCGTGAGTCATTAGTCTGTGCTCGTGAGTCTGTGTTTGTGAGTCTGTGTTTGAGAGTCTGTGTTCATAACTCTGTGAATCAAATACTGAAGAGAATGACATCGAACCATCACATCTGAAACGTCATGTGACTGATTCGTGTGTGTGTGTGTGCAGGTGGGTAAGTGGGAGAACGGCTCTCTGAGCATGAAGTATCACGTGTGGCCACGCTTCGAGCTGTACTCCGGCTCAGAGAACCGCGAGGACGATCATCTGTCCATCGTGACGCTGGAGGAGGCGCCGTTCGTGATCGTGGAGGACGTGGATCCGCTGAGCGGGACCTGCATGAGGAACACCGTGCCCTGCCGAAAGCAGCTCAAAACACTGTAAACACACACACACACTCTTCTGACCCAGTTCCTCCCAGAGCGGTTTCAGTGATAAGCACTTTAAAGCCAGTTCCCATGGGCATCTTGACGGACAAAACATCTCTGACTCTGTGTTTAATTAGAGTGTTCGTTAATATAACTGAAGGATGTTTATGGTTAATGCAGAAACCTGTCAAATCACTAACCTGTCTTTCTCCATCCATCCATCCATCCGTCAGTAATAAGACGAGTGAGCCTCCGGTCTACATCAAGCGCTGCTGTAAGGGTTTCTGTATCGATATCCTGAAGAAGGTCGCCAAGTCTGTGAAGTTCTCGTACGATCTTTATCTGGTGACCAACGGCAAACACGGCAAGAAGATCAACGGCACGTGGAACGGGATGGTGGGAGAGGTATGAGTTTCAGATCAATAATACACGAAGTAAAGAGTCGTCATCAGTGTTCTGTGTGTGTGTGTGTTTGGGTTACTTACTGTTTATAATTAGCTGTCTATAAAAACAATCAAAGTCTTTGAGTTCTCAGTGTCCCCATTTAGATCGCTCTGTGTGTGTGTTAAAATATTACATTACACTACATTTCACACACTGCCATCCCATTGAAACACACACACACACACACACACACACACACTCTTTCGTGCCCCAGTTTAGTGATATGAACTTCAGGTATTTAGAGCTAAAATTACCAACAGAGAGAGAGAGAGAGAGAGAGTGATAACCCACTTACTGTGTGTTGTTGATCTAGAAACTCTCGTCTCATGTCTCCTCATCTCTCCTCATGTGAACATCGTGCAGCAGTGCATGCTGGGAATGAAGCGAAGCTAACTCTGGCAGTTTAGCTGATGTTCTCCAGGAGTGCTGTGATTGATCAGTCCTCGCTCGCTTTGGGAAGTTTGATCTGTGGTCTCTATAAAGACTGGTCGTTATATGCTCAGATGTCCTCACAGATGACCAACACAGGAACGGTCACTCGCTCAGCACAGGCAGTGTCGCGTCCTCACTAAAGATGATCATTTCATTCCTCTAAATCTTGCCAGCGTCTCAGCACTCGTTTTCTTAGTCTGTAGTTGTTGGATTAACATTAATGCGCTGCTCTTGAATTATTGTAAACTTAATTATAAGGATTGATCTGTATTTAATTTGTCCTATTTGTCCTAAAAAACTCCACCCTATTCACATAGACCCCGCCCACGACTGCTGACAGACTCCACCCTATTCACATAAACCCCGCCCACGACTGCTGACAGACTCCGCCCTATTCACATAGACCCCGCCCACAGCTGCTGACGGACTCCGCCCTATTAGAATAGCCCCAGAATCCAGCTCTCTGTGTGTGTGATTCGGTGTGTGTGTGTGTGTGTGTGTGTGTTCATAAAAACCCATTTCAGAAGTTCAGACTGGAATGGCTTTAAAAGGATTCAGATAATAAAGTTTCATGAGGAAGAACTGTAATGTCTCATTCGGTGAGAGCGATAGGGATGATAATCAAACAGATGCTGTAGTTTTCGTCAGAGTATGTGAGGCATAAGCTGCACTGGCCCCGCCCTCTTCTGGATAGGGGGCGGAGCAGCAGCTCATTTGCATTTAAAGAGACATGCTCTAAAACAGCGTGTTTTTCCTTCCACTCAATAATGGCCATGCAACATGTTATAATAACTGATCTGGGGGCAGTTCTGAGCTGGAACTCGCACACACACATTCTGGGGACACGGAGACGTTTATCAGATCTATAAAGAGGGGTGGAGTAGTTCCTCTTTAATAACTGCTGTCATCAATGTTATTTGATGTTTACATGAGTTCAGTCCAGCACATGCACTGCGTATCTGAAATGTAGTGTGTGTGTGTGTGTGTGTGTTTAGGTAGTGCTGAAGAATGCTCACATGGCTGTTGGTTCGCTGACTATCAACGAGGAGAGGTCAGAGGTCATCGATTTCTCCGTGCCGTTCATCGAGACGGGCATCAGTGTCATGGTGTCGAGGAGCAACGGGACTGTGTCTCCGTCAGCGTTCCTCGGTGAGACTCACACACACACACACTCACGTCTGTCACATGTGTGACGCGTGTCTCTGCTGTGACGTCTGAGTGTGTGTGTGTTCTCGTCCCCAGAGCCCTTCAGTGCTGACGTGTGGATCATGATGTTCGTGATGCTCCTGCTGGTGTCGGCCATCGCCGTCTTCGTGTTCGAGTACTTCAGTCCTGTGGGTTACAACCGCTGTCTCGCTGACGGCCGAGGTGAGACACACACACACACACACACACACACACACTGTTTATTCTCCTCCTCCTCCTCCTCATCTGTGATGGAGTGTGTGTGTGTGTGTTTCAGAGGCCGGCGGGCCGTCGTTCACCGTGGGCAAGGCTATCTGGCTGCTGTGGGGTCTGGTCTTCAATAACTCGGTGCCCGTGCAGAACCCGAAGGGAACCACCAGTAAGATCATGGTGTCGGTGTGGGCCTTCTTCGCTGTGATCTTCCTGGCCAGCTACACCGCTAACCTCGCCGCGTTCATGATCCAGGAGGAGTACGTGGACCAGGTGTCGGGCCTCAGCGACAAGAAGGTGTGCTAGCGTTAGCTTGGAAATCTCTCTTTATGATGTGTTATCACGAAATATTGGACTCGACTTGTTTTCTTTCAGTTAGCACAGGTTTAGTGTTTCTACTTGGGTCTGAATAATCGTAGGCCTCGTTGATCTGAGCTGAAGCTCCTCCCTTTACTTTGAGGCGATTAACGATTAACCTGTCCAAAGAAGAAACACTAAACCTGCGCTAATTGAAACAAAACAAGTTGACAAAAAGATTGCGTCCAAAAGGCTTGTAAGGCGGGCAATTTTTGACCTGGAACTCCAAAGTGTTGAGTTTGGCACAGCTTCTCGCTCGGCCTGTCGGCGTGCTCTCTCTCTCTCTCTCACACTGTTGATCTTCAGTTTCAGAGACCCAACGACTTCTCCCCGCCGTTTCGCTTCGGGACGGTCCCGAACGGCAGCACCGAGAGAAACATACGCAATAACTACAAAGAGATGCACTCCTACATGATCAAATTCCACCAGCGCAACGTGAACGAAGCTCTGTACAGTCTGAAGACTGGGTGAGGAAACCAGCGGGAAGATCCCAGTAGTTCACTCAAAACTGAACATTTACTCTCCCTCAACCCATCCTAGTGTACATGACTTTCTTCTTTCAGACAAACACACTTTTATGATGGATAGATGCACTTTTATGATGATAGATGCACTTTTATGATGGAAAGATGCACTTTTATGATGGACAGATGCACTTTTATGATGGACAGATGCACTTTTATGATGGACAGATGCACTTTTATGATGGACAGATGCACTTTTATGATGGAAAGATGCACTTTTATGATGGACAGATGCACTTTTATGATGGACAGATGCACTTTTATGATGGACAGATGCACTTTTATGATGGACAGATGCACTTTTATGATGGATAGATGCACTTTTATGATGGACAGATGCACTTTTATGATGGACAGATGCACTTTTATGATGACAGATGCACTTTTATGATGGACAGATGCACTTTTATGATGGATAGATGCACTTTTATGATGGATAGATGCACTTTTATGATGGACAGATGCACTTTTATGATGGATAGATGCACTTTTATGATGGATAGATGCACTTTTATGATGGACAGATGCACTTTTATGATGGATAGATGCACTTTTATGATGGATAGATGCACTTTTATGATGGACAGATGCACTTTTATGATGGATAGATGCACTTTTATGATGGATAGATGCACTTTTATGATGGACAGATGCACTTTTATGATGGATAGATGCACTTTTATGATGGACAGATGCACTTTTATGATGGATAGATGCACTTTTATGATGGATAGATGCACTTTTATGATGGACAGATGCACTTTTATGATGGATAGATGCACTTTTATGATGGACAGATGCACTTTTATGATGGACAGATGCACTTTTATGATGGATAGATGCACTTTTATGATGGACAGATGCACTTTTATGATGGATAGATGCACTTTTATGATGGACAGATGCACTTTTATGATGGACAGATGCACTTTTATGATGGACAGGTGCACTTTTATGATGGACAGATGCACTTTGATGGACTTTCAAAAACATACCTCCATTCACTCCCATTTTAAAGATCGGGAGAGCCAGGACATGTTAATATAACTCTGATTGTCTTTATCTGAAAGAAGAATGTCATGTACACCAAGGATGGCTTGAGGGAGAGTAAATCATGGGGTAATTTTGTGTGAACTGTCCCTTTAAAGAGTAAGATAATGGATGTATAAATGGCACAGTGGTTGTGACGGCTCTGACGCCGGTGTTTCGCTCACAGTAAGCTGGATGCCTTCATCTACGACGCCGCGGTGCTGAACTACATGGCGGGCCGAGACGAGGGCTGTAAGCTGGTCACCATCGGCTCCGGGAAAGTGTTCGCCTCCACCGGCTACGGCATCGCCATCCAGAAGGACTCGGTGTGGAAGAGACAAGTGGACCTCGCCATCCTGCAGCTCTTCGGAGACGGTACACACACACACACACACACACACACACACACACACTGAGTTCGACCCTCATCACTGTTTTAAAGCAAACCAGAAAAAGCTTATTGCAAAAATCTGCTATAGACATACAGCGGCTTTTGCATGTTAGCGGCGTGTTCTGGAAGTGTTAGCATGCCTCGAGTTGTTATATATGTACAATCACTGATAGGTTCACGTGTTGGGATCTTTATTGCTCTAGTAAAAGGATGTCGTTTAAGCTCAGCTCTTGTTATTACTGGATGATATTTCATTTTGTAGTTTGTTTAGTATCAGAAATGATGTTTGTCTCATTGTTATATTGACAGTAGTCGTACCTGACAACTCTCAGCAAACATTGTGAAATATTATTTTGTGAAGGCGCTCATCACAAAGTCTCTCTTCTGAAAGCTCCTTTACGCTCATGATTGGCTGACATAGGTTGGCAATATGTTCTGATTGTGCTTTCGCTTCGTGGTCTTGTTTTTGGGGATTTTGTTTTAGGAGTTTGTTTCTATGGGGAGTCATTTCTACTGTTTCTGGGTCCTGTGTTTAACAGATGTGTATGACATAGCAGCTTACGGTTACCCGTGGAAATGCTGTTTAAGTTGTGTTCAGTTGAACTGATATGTTGTGTATTGATAGTCCTCATGTGAGTTTATGTTTATATCAGTCCTGTGTCTCAGCTTTGAATCCTGCATTTGTCTGCCAGCACCTGTGACTCTCCTGAGCCTGTGTCACACACACAAACCCCTGACCCTTGATATGCTGTGTGTGTGTGTGTGTGTGTGTTTCAGGTGACATGGAGGAGTTTGAGGCTCTCTGGCTGACGGGGATCTGCCATCACGAGAAGAATGAAGTGATGAGCAGTCAGCTGGACGTGGATAACATGGCCGGCGTGTTCTACATGCTGGGAGCCGCCATGGCCCTCTCGCTCATCACCTTCATCGCTGAACACGTCTTCTACTGGCACCTGCGCTTCTGCTTCATGGGCGTGTGCTCCGGCAAACCTGGATTCACCTACACCATCAGCAGGGTACGTATGAACAAACACACGCTGAACATTACAACCGGAGAAGTGCAGCGGGGCAAAACACAATCATGCTAGAAATCATGTTGTGTTAAAGGGATAGTTCACCCAAAAATGAAAATTAGCACATCCATCCATCATTAAAGTGCATCTGTCCATCATAAACTTGCATCTGTCCATCATAAAAGTACATCTGTCCATCATAAAAGTGCATCTATCATCATAAAAGTGCATCTATCCATCATAAAAATGCATCTGTCCATCAAAAAAGTGCATCTATCCATCATAAAAGTGCATCTGTCCATCATAAAAGTGCATCTATCCATCATAAAAGTGTATCTGTTCATCATAAAAGTGCATCTATCCATCATAAAAGTACATCTATCCATCATAAAAGTGCATCTGTCCATCATAAAAGTGCATCTATCCATCATAAAAGTACATCTATCCATCATAAAAGTGCATCTATCCATCATAAAAGTACATCTGTCCATCATAAAAGTGCATCTATCATCATAAAAGTGCATCTATCCATCATAAAAGTGCATCTGTCCATCATAAAAGTGCATCTATCATCATAAAAGTGCATCTATCCATCATAAAAGTGCATCTATCCATCATAAAAGTGCATCTGTCCATCATAAAAGTGCATCTGTCCATCATAAAAGTGCATCTGTCCATCATAAAAGTGCATCTGCCCATCATAAAAGTGCATCTATCCATCATAAAAGTGCATCTATCCATCATAAAAGTGCATCTGTCCATCATAAAAGTGCATCTATCCATCATAAAAGTGCATCTGTCCATTATAAAAGTGCATCTGTCCATCATAAAAGTGCATCTGTCCATCATAAAAGTACATCTGTCCATCATAAAAGTGCATCTGTCCATCATAAAAGTGCATCTGTCCATCATAAAAGTACATCTGTCCATCATAAAAGTGCATCCATCATCATAAAAGTGCATCTATCCATCATAAAAGTGCATCTGTCCATCATAAAAGTACATCTGTCCATCATAAAAGTGCATCTATCATCATAAAAGTGCATCTATCCATCATAAAAGTGCATCTGTCCATCACAAAAGTACATCTGTCCATCATAAAAGTGCATCCATCATCATAAAAGTGCATCTATCCATCATAAAAGTGCATCTGTCCATCATAAAAGTGCATCTATCCATCATAAAATTGCATCTGTCCATCATAAAAGTGCATCTATCCATCATAAAAGTGTATCTGTCCATCATAAAAGTGCATCTGTCCATCATAAAAGTGCATCTATCCATCATAAAAGTGCATCTATCCATCATAAAAGTACATCTGTCCATCATAAAAGTGCATCTATCATCATAAAAGTGCATCTATCCATCATAAAAGTGCATCTGTCCATCATAAAAGTACATCTGTCCATCATAAAAGTGCATCCATCATCATAAAAGTGCATCTATCCATCATAAAAGTGCATCTGTCCATCATAAAAGTGCATCTGTCCATTATAAAAGTACATCTGTCCATCATAAAAGTACATCTGTCCATCATAAAAGTGCATCTGTCCATCATAAAAGTGCATCTGTCCATCATAAAAGTGCATCTATCCATCATAAAAGTGCATCTGTCCATCATAAAAGTGCATCTGTCCATCATAAAAGTGCATCTATCCATCATAAAAGTACATCTATCCATCATAAAAGTGCATCTGTCCATCATAAAAGTGCATCTGTCCATTATAAAAGTACATCTGTCCATCATAAAAGTACATCTGTCCATCATAAAAGTGCATCTATCCATCATAAAAGTGCATCTGTCCATCATAAAAGTGCATCTGTCCATCATAAAAGTGCATCTATCCATCATAAAAGTGCATCTATCCATCATAAAATTGCATCTGTCCATCATAAAAGTGCATCTGTCCATCATAAAAGTGCATCTGTCCATCATAAAAGTGCATCTGTCCATCATAAAAGTGCATCTATCCATCATAAAAGTGCATCTATCCATCATAAAATTGCATCTGTCCATCATAAAAGTGCATCTATCCATCATAAAAGTGCATCTATCCATCATAAAAGTGCATCTATCCATCATAAAATTGCATCTGTCCATCATAAAAGTGCATCTATCCATCATAAAAGTGCATCTATCCATCATAAAAGTGCATCTGTCCATCATAAAAGTGCATCTGTCCATCATAAAAGTGCATCTATCCATCATAAAAGTGCATCTGTCCATCATAAAAGTGCATCTATCCATCATAAAAGTGCATCTATCCATCATAAAAGTGCATCTGTCCATCATAAAAGTGCATCTGTCCATCATAAAAGTGCATCTGTCCATCATAAAAGTGCATCTGTCCATCATAAAAGTGCATCCATCCTTGATTATGGGGGTTAATAAAGGCCTTCTGAAGCGAAACCATGTTTTTTTGTGAGAAAAATATCCATATTTATAACTTCTACCAGAGGGCCGGACGCATACTACGCAAGTCGACTTACGCAAGAGTAACCCATGACGCGTGTATGACGTAGAAGCGTAAGCTTGGACGCCTCTCGTAGTTCAAACTAGTAGGGCTGTGCAACTGGAGCTCCTCTTCTATTATATATAAATCCTCTGACATTTCTCTTTAAAATGGCTAATTCTCGACCCGGTGTTTTGTTTTGCTCATCCCTTGGAGCTTCCGTGTTCATCATTATGTTGTGCGTTGGGTCACGGATTACCGGTGCCAGTGATTTTAGTTTCGAAAACGATAAATATTGGTATTTTCCTTACACAAACACATCACTTCACTTCAGAAGTCGTTAATTAACCCCGTGGAGCCGTATTGATTAGTTTTATCATGGATGGATGCACTTTTATGGGCTTCAAATTTTCTCCAGCCATTCACTGCCATTGTAAATCCTGGAAGAGCCAGGACATTTTTTAACATAATGATTATATTTTACTGAAAGAAGAACGTCACACACACCTAGGATGACTTCAGCGTGAGTAAATCATTAAGGTGAACTATCCCTTTAAGAGCAACTCTGAACACTGAAACCTCTCTCTCTTCCTCTCTCAGGAGATTTACAGCTGCATTCACGGAGTGGAAATCGAAGACAAGAGTTCGGATATGAACTCCCCCTCCGCCACGATGAACAACACCCACTCCAACATCCTGCGTCTGCTGCGCACGGCCAAGAACATGGCGTCTCTGTCCGGGGTCAACGGCTCTCCGCACAGCGCACTGGACTTCATCCGCCGCGAGTCCTCGGTGTACGACATCAGCGAGCAGCGCCGGAGCCTGGCCGGGCCCTCGGACTGCAAGGGCCCATACCTGCCCGAGGACAACATGTTCAGCGACTACATCAGCGAGGTGGAGCGCACCTTCGGGAACCTGCACCTGAAGGACAGCAACCTGTACCAGGAGCACTACCGGCTCCACCACGGGGGGTCTGCGCTGGGGCTGACGGAGGGCCCCGGGCCCCGGAGCCTGGGCTCCAGCAGCTCTCTGGAGGAGGGTCTGTTCGATTGCGACGGCCCCAGTGGAGGACCCATCTTCAGCACCCAGCCCAGATCTGCCCTCACACACAGGAACATGAGCAAGTTCGACCTGCTCCACAGCCAGACTCCTCCGACCGGCCCAGGCTTGAAGCAAGGGCTTGCCGAGCTCTACGGAAAGTTCTCCTTTAAGGGCGGAGCGTCCAGTTCGGGGTACATCGCGGGGCATCACCACGGAGCCGACGACGGAAACATCCGCTCCGACGTGTCTGACATTTCAACTCACACCGTGACCTACGGAAACCTGGAGGGCAATGCTAAGAAGCGTAAGCAGTACAGAGATAGCCTGAAGAAGCGGCCCGCGTCGGCGAAGTCCCGCCGTGAATTGGACGAGCTCGAGATGGGTCACCGGCGCCGCCAGCACCACCATTACCACCATCACGGACAACGCTCCAACTCTCCTCCGTCTGAGCGCAAGCGAGGTGGCCGCGTAAACTCCTCCTCATACCTGTTACAGGACAAGGAGAGCCTGAGGGATTTCTACCTGGACCAGTTCCGGCCCAAAGACGGTATCCCGCAGTGGGAGCACGTGGACCTCACAGACGGGCCCGGTGGAGGGAACTGCACCAGCCTGGTGTCGGTGGATGACTTCCTGAAGAGCAAGCCGAAGAAGCCGGAGGGCCAGAGCGAGTGGGAGTGTCGCAGCTGTCGAGCTAGCAGTGCGGGGAGCAAGCAGACGGGGCACGCGGGCGGGACGGGTTACTGTGTGGCGGCGGGAGGAGTCGGGAGTCGACCCAGTTCTGCCACATGCATGCGGTGCGAAGCCTGCAAGAAGTCCGGGAACCTGTACGATATCAGCGAGGACAGTAACCACCTGTTGGACCAGCTGACGCCGGCGCAGCGCCGCAGGGCGTTCAGCGGGAAACCGCTACGGCGACAGCACTCCTACGACGCCTTCGTGGACCTGCAGAGGGAGGAGTCCGGTGTGCCGGCGCCGGGGTGTGGCGTAGCCGGCGTGATCCCGCTGCCACCGCGCAGCGTCAGCCTCAAGGAGAGGGAGCGCTGCATGGACGGGCCCTTCTCACACGTGTTACAGTTCCCCGAGCCAGAACCCGAGCAAGACCCGCTGTTCTACGGCGCCGCCGGGAAGAGCCCGTTCGGGTTGTTCCCGCACCGGCGCTCGGTTGGGGAGCGTGACCTGAGAAACAGAGGACTCATGGAGGGGCCAGCTCACCCCTTATCCAAATCCCTCTATCCCGACCGCACCGACCACAACCCCTTCATCCCCACGTTTGGGGACGACCAGTGTCTCCTGCACGGGGCCAAGTCCTGCTACTCCACCTCGCAGCACCAGCAGGGCGACGTTTACGGGAATATTGGCTCGACCTCGTTCCTGCCGGCGTCCGGAGTCGTGTCTAATCTCGCTCCTCGCTTTCCGGTGGAGATGTGCATGGGGAACCACTACACCAGCAAGCTCAGCCTCGGCCCGCCGCGGCCCTTCAACGGCAGCAACGGACACGTGTACGAGAAGCTCTCCAGCATAGAGTCCGACGTGTGAAGCAGCGAGAGGAAAGGACAGACTTAACAGAACACGCAGAACATGAGAGGTTTGAACATGTCATTTCCTGTGAAGTTCACGTCTACACCCATAGTGGTGAGAACAAGAGCTCGCCCATCTGTCGAGTGTGTGAGATGTCAGATGGCCTCTCTCCGTCCTCCTGTACTCTTGTCTTTTGTGAACTCATGAAAGCATGATTGATTTTTTTGAAACAGGGTAATAACTGCACCTCAGAGACGCTGCTGTTGACATGAGGTCTGTTCTCGTCTTGCTCCAGAGGCCTTCGGTGAGCGTTAGGGAGATTTGAATGTGATGATCAATGCAGTCTAATGTATCCATGGCAACAGCCTCTCCCATGCTGTTTACTGCCCTGAAACACGTGTGTGTCGGTGAAAGTGCACTCCTTTATACTGCCGTGATGTTTCATATCCGACGAGAAGCCTTCACACACTCATGTCTGCGGACTCTCCAAACGAAGGCTGAAACTACAGCATTAACGCCTCTCTTTCTTTTGGTTGTAAATACTTTTCTCTTTATATATAAGCCTACAAGGTCGACCTTTAATATAGCTTTTTCAAGTATAACAAATAACCAAAATAAAGACAAAAACACAACAAAATACACAAAAATATGCAAAATTTAGCAAAAGCATTATAATTCATGATAAGCGGTATTTTAAGCGATAGTCTGCTTTTTAAATTCATGTTTATTACTTAACTCTGATAGTTTACTGCCTCCTAACCCGCTTCATTTTAAGGATTTACCTTTCAGCGTAACGGAGCTGAGACGCGCTGTCGTGTTCGTTTACTCGATTAGTTTATCGAATAATCCTGGCTAAGTTTCTCTCGAACTGTGTGGTTCCAGGCGATCTCTAACACATACACACCTTTACTTCGCTATGTGAAGGACGACGTTTCTAGGCACGCTTTTTTTCGCCACAGAATAAAAAATAAAACAGGTAATTGCGACTTTTATATCTCCCAATTCCGAGAGAAAAAAAGGCAGAACTGCAGAACATAAAGAAACTATATAATACAAGCTAGCTACAATTGTGACTTTATTTCTTGCAAATTCAAATTGATATTTTGCAATTCTCATGTTATAGCTCACAATTGCCAATTTAGAGAAATATTTAATATAAACTCTCGTAATTCTCACTTTATAACTCAAAATTACAAATTTACAGGCCTATCTCAATTGTGAGTAAAAGTCAGAAATGTGAGATACAAAGTCAGTTTTGAGAATTATTATATATTATTTCACCATTCTGAGAAATATTATATAATATAAACTTTTTAATCATAAAATGCTCACAATTGCACATTTATCTCACAATTCTGAGAAATAAATCTGAATTGTGAGAGATAAACATGCAATTCTGACGTTTTCTCTCACAATTGCAAATTTAATTTTGACTTCATAACGAATTATAAGATATAGTCACAGTTACCTATTTTTTTAATTCCGTGGCATAAACAAGCTTCAGTTGTTTACATATAAAGCTAATTATAAACGTTGAAAAGTGTTTTTGTCTGATATAGCTAACAATCGTCTTCAAAGTGTAGCGGAGTAAACGCGCACACACACACACACACACACATCCTCAAAGCAGGGCTAATTGAACCCTTTCTAACGACTGACTGACTGTGTGTTGATGGAGTGTGTCATGTTTTCTGATTGTAATGCGATGGTGAGGTCCTGTCCTCACTTTAGGTCTATAGCACACAATAACATCTCATCTCCAGTTAGAGGAACTCTAACCATGTCTTTAACCTTTCTTTTTAGAGCATCATTATTATTATTATTATTATCATTATCATTATTATTATTATTATAATGAAGCGTTTTAGGGTGTTTTCTTCTGGTATGTTGAAGCCGGCAGTGTAAATGTTCCCTACTAACCTATGTTAGAGTTTTCCTAAAAACAGTTTAGATTCAAACACACACACACACACACACACACTTCCCTACATGCTTATAGCTTGAGCTCTATATGCTAAAAAAATCACATTTTCCTGTGTTCATAGAGAAATACGCCTATTACGCATAGCTGTAGTTATAATTTTTTCTAGTGTATTCGCAATATATAAGCAACTTCTAGCGTTCTGTTGACTACTATATTCTCATTATTCTAAAGTAAGTATAGTATTAATCTACAGGTAAGAAACGCCCTGTCGTTTATTCCCTCCATCCGTTATTTCAGTGAACGTGTTGATAAGGACACGCGTGTGCGTGTGACTTCTGTAATAAACTCTCTTGTTGCTATGGCGCTGCCATGGTGTTACGATGCTGTTCCCATGGTAACTGCAGTGCAAGAGGATGCGGGCTGAATGAGTGAATTGTTTCACTATGGAATAAGAGCTACATCCACTTTGATATGTTACCAAAATTTTTACGTCATTTCCATCTCTGAAACGATTCTCAAGTGAATACATGTACAGATTGTGTATATAATAATGTGAGATTTCCTCCTTTTGTATGACAATATGAACACAAACCTCTATGAGACTTTAATAGTGAGAGTGTTTTGATGATGATGATGATTATGACGGATCAGAATTCTTTCACTGAATAAAGCGAATTAAAAAACACATGCATCTTTTCTCTGTAAATTGACGATTAAAAGATAAAACAATGATGTGCACAGACCAGTCATGTATAATAATGCATATTCCCTAAAAAAGAAGGACGTGGATTTCCTGGCGAGGTGTAAGGTGCAGCGGTCTCAGTCCAGTGTGCAGTGAGTAGCGCTCTCGTTCGTGTTTTAGCACACACACACCCGCTCAGCTCGTCATCCATCGGTTCGTCTTATTAATTTCTCGCTCACGTAGGAGAAAGAGGCTTATGAAATATTGATAGACAGCGAGAGAGAGACAGAGAGGGGGAGGACGAGACAATCTTCCAGACAACGATCCCTGGCAATCCAAGATGGGGACACGTGGAAACATAATTTCCAAGAATTAAATAGCTCAGATTCGGTCCGATATAAAGCCCTCGATCCGGAGTCAGTCCGATATAAAGCCCTCGATCCGGAGTCAGTCCGATATAAAGCCCTCGATCCGGAGTCGGTCCGATATAAAGCCCTCGGTCCGGAGTCAGTCCGATATAAAGCCCTCGGTCCGGAGTCAGTCCGATATAAAGCCCTCGGTCCGGAGTCAGTCCGATATAAAGCCCTCGATCCGGAGTCAGTCCGAAATAAAGCCCTCGATCCGGAGTCAGACCGATATAAAGCCCTCGATCCGGAGTCAGTCCGATATAAAGCCCTCGATCCGGAGTCAGCACGATATAAAGCCCTCGATCCGGAGTCAGTCCGATATAAAGCCCTCGATCCGGAGTCTGCACGATATAAAGCCCTCGATCCGGAGTCAGCACGATATAAAGCCCTCGATCCGGAGTCAGTCCGATATAAAGCCCTCGGTCCGGAGTCAGTCCGATATAAAGCCCTCGATCCGGAGTCAGTCCGATATAAAGCCCTCGGTCCGGAGTCAGTTCGATATAAAGCCCTCGATCCGGAGTCGGTCCGATATAAAGCCCTCGATCCGGAGTCGGTCCGATATAAAGCCCTCGATCCGGAGTCAGTCCGATATAAAGCCCTCGATCCGGAGTCGGTCCGATATAAAGCCCTCGATCCGGAGTCAGTCCGAAATAAAGCCCTCGATCCGGAGTCGGTCCGATATAAAGCCCTCGATCCGGAGTCAGTCCGATATAAAGCCCTCGATCCGGAGTCAGTCCGATATAAAGCCCTCGATCCGGAGTCAGTCCGATATAAAGCCCTCGATCCGGAGTCAGTCCGATATAAAGCCCTCGATCCGGAGTCAGTCCGATATAAAGCCCTCGATCCGGAGTAAGTCCGATATAAAGCCCTCGATCCGGAGTCAGTCCGATATAAAGAAATATAGAGCTGGGTATCATCAGCATAACAGTGAAAGCTAATGCCATGTTTCCTAATGATATGTACAAAGTGTGTGTGAGTGTCTGTGTGTGTGTGTGTGTGTAAGGGTAGCATGTACAGAGTGTGTGAGTGTGTGTGTGTTAGGGTAGCATGTACTGTGTGTGTGTGTGTGTGTGAGTGTAGCATGTACAGAGTGAACAGCAGCGGTGAGAGCTGTCTCGGTACTGTGGTCCATTAGACTACACTCCCCATTGACCAAAGCTATAACCCTGAAACTATTATTACAGAAATCCACAAACATTTAAAAGAAACACATGATGAATCACTAAAAACAAGTTATAACCTCCAAAATAAACTTCAATGTTACTCGACCCTCAATAGAACTACTAAATTGGCCAGTTATCTATTTATTAAACATTTTAAAGAAAGACAAATCCCCTCCAAATACAGATTAAGTGACAATGATCTAGAGATAGAGAGAGGAACACATAGACATGGACAGAGAGAGAGCAGAGGAGTGTGTGTGTGTGTGTGTCGTGCTACAGACGCTGGTCTCGTTGACTGGTGTTTAATGAACTGCTATATTCCCCCTCTCACACTCACACCCCCACAGTCCCACAATCCTTTGTGAAGCTCGGCTCACTCTTATTAGCAGTCGCCTAGCAACAGAGCGCGCGCAGGGGGTAAGAGGATAATCATCATCATCTGAGGCTCCGCCCACTCCACTGACTCACACACACACACTCTCCACTGACTCACACACAAAGTTTAAATACAAGCAATTTTCTTAGAGAAGAGCGGAAATAGTATTTGTATTAATATTTTCCAGGAATTATTTAAATGCACTCAGTATATTTTCTTATAACCCTAAACAGAATGTTACAAGACCAAGCGTTAAATAGACAAAGCATGACTCAGGTTCATTAAATAGAAAAATAATCAAGATTATTTTTGGCTTACACAAAAGTATATCACACTAGGACGCTTTCATCACTTGAACAGAAGGAGCCTTTAAACCACAAAGCAAAATAAATAAAAATCAAACACAGTAAAAAAAATAAAAGTTAGATTCATTAAACTAAACCTTGTGAATCTCTCAGTTAATCCAAAATAAATGACAAAAGTAGTTACTCTGTTCAAACACTAGGCCTGAAGCATCCTCGTGCTGAAGTAATAAACATGGGCGAACAAACAATAGACAAACAAAGAAAAAGAAAGGAAAAAGAAAACTAGTCCGCCCCCAAAGGCCTTTCCCATTTCTTTTGGGCCTGATTACCAGCTCAAGTGCCCAGGCGGACTAGACAATATTCCTAGGCAAGCATTAAACACCTTTATTATTCATATTAAAACAATTTAATAATTCAAATCAACTCATATCTGTCTCAAAGATCTAAATAAATCCTCATGTGAACCTCTCGCATTTGAACACCACGAGTGTTGATCGATTTCCACCGACCAGAAACAAACGCACCCACCGTTATCGTTCCACTGATCTTTACACTAGGTGAAACACACCCTCTTGATCTTTACACTCGGCGAACCACACCCCCTTGATCTTTACACTAGGCGAACCACACCCCCTTGATCCCCATGTGGATGTGGTATTGGTTAGTGTGACACAGGATATCCCAGGGTTAAAGTGCTCTAACCAGTGTGACACAGCCTAACCCAGGGTTAAAACGATGTAACCAGTGTGACGCAGGATAACCAGGGGTTAAAGTACTGTAACCAGTGTGACGCGGGATAACCCGGGGTTAAACTACTGTAACCAGTGTGACGCAGGATAACCAGGGGTTAAAGTGCTCTAACCAGTGTGACGTGGGATAACCCGGGGTTAAAGCGCTGTAATCAGTGTGACTTGGGATAAGGGGGGTCAACGCGCTGTAACCAATGTGACACTGGATAACCCAGGGTTAAAGCGCTGTAACTAATGTGACACCGGATAACTTGGGGTTTACGTGCTGTAACCAGTGTGACATGGGATAACCTGGGGTTAAAGCACTGTAACCAGTGTGACACAGGATAACCCAGGGTTAAAGCACTGTAACCAGTGTGACACAGGATAACCCAGGGTTAAAGCGCTGTAACCAATGTGACACAGGATAACTTGGGGTTTACATGCTGTAACCAGTGTGACATGGGATTACCTGGGGTTAAAGTGCTGTAACCAGTGTGACATGGGATAACCCGGGGTTAAAGCGCTGTGACCAGTGTGACACAGGATAACCCAGGGTTAAAGCGCTGTAACCAATGTGACACCAGATAACTTGGGGTTTAAGTGCTGTAACCAGTGTGACATGGGATAACCCGGGGTTTAAGTGGTGTAACCAGTGTGACATGGGGTAACCCGGGGTTTAAGTGGTGTAACCAGTGTGACACAGGATAACCCAGGGTTAAAGCACTGTAACCAGTGTGACATGGGGTAACCCGGGGTTTAAGTGGTGTAACCAGTGTGACACAGGATAACCTGGGGTTAAAGCGCTGTAACCAGTGTGACATGGGATAACCCGGGGTTAAAGCGCTGTGACCAGTGTGACACAGGATAACCCAGGGTTAAAGCGCAGTAACCAATGTGACACCAGATAACTTGGGGTTTAAGTGCTGTAACCAGTGTGACATGGGATAACCCAGGGTTAAAGCGCTGTAACCAGTGTGACACAGGATAACCCAGGGTTAAAGCGCTGTAACCAATGTGACACAGGATAACTTGGGGTTTAAGTGCTGTAACCAGTGTGACACAGGATAACCTGGGGTTAAAGCGCTGTAACCAGTGTGACATGGGATAACCCGGGGTTTAAGTGGTGTAACCAGTGTGACACAGGATAACCTGGGGTTAAAGCGCTGTAACCAGTGTGACACCGGATAACTTGGGGTTTAAGTGGTGTAACCAGTGTGACACCGGATAACTTGGGGTTTAAGTGCTGTAACCAGTGTGACATGGGATAACTTGGGTTTAAAGCGCTATAACCAGTGTGACACAGGATAACCTGGGGTTAAAGCGCTGTAACCAGTGTGACATGGGATAACTTGGGTTTAAAGCGCTATAACCAGTGTGACACAGGATAACCTGGGGTTAAAGCGCTGTAACCAGTGTGACACAGGATAACTTGGGGTTTAAGTGCTGTAACCAGTGTGACATGGGATAACTTGGGTTTAAAGCGCTATAACCAGTGTGACACAGGATAACCCAGGGTTAAAGCACTGTAACCAGTGTGACACAGGATAACTTGGGGTTTAAGTGCTGTTACCAGTGTGACACAGGATAACTTGGGGTTTAAGTGCTGTAACCAGTGTGACACAGGATAACTTGGGGTTTAAGTGCTGTAACCAGTGTGACATGGGATAACCTGGGGTTAAAGCGCTGTAACCAGTGTGACACAGGATAACCTGGGGTTAAAGCGCTGTAACCAGTGTGACACAGGATAACTTGGGGTTTAAGTGGTGTAACCAGTGTGACACCGGATAACTTGGGGTTTAAGTGCTGTAACCAGTGTGACACAGGATAACCTGGGGTTTAAGTGCTGTAACCAGTGTGACACAGGATAACCTGGGGTTAAAACGCTGTAACCAGTGTGACACAGGATAACCTGGGGTTAAAACGCTGTAACCAGTGTGACACAGGATAACCTGGGGTTAAAGCGCTGTAACCAGTGTGACACAGGATAACTTGGGGTTTAAGTGCTGTAACCAGTGTGACAC